TTTTTTTTTTTTTTAATGTAATAAAAGACAAAAGAAGGCTGAGGAAATTTTTCGGATTAAAGGAGACTAAAGAGACATTAGATATAAATACAGTACTTCATCTTAGACTGCATTCTATATTCGGGGGATGCTATAAGTTCATTATTAGGTCAATTTACAAATTGGAATGCAGAGGAAGGATTACATTTACTCAAGAGGATTCCTTATTCTTAGAAAATACAGAGAAAGAAAGAGGAGAGAAAGCGAGAGGGGGAGAAGAAGGGGGAGGAGAAGGGAGAGGGAGGAAACAAATGATAAAGCAAATGGAGCAAAGTGTTAACAATAAGTGAATCCGAGTAAATGGTACACATGTGTTCTTTGTATTTTGTTCCTACAACTTTCCCAAATCAAATGGTTTTTAAAAATTGTGTCCAGGGGACCTGGAATCTAAGCCAAGCCTCTACGCTCACTTGGTGCATGACCCTGAATGAATCCCTTCTTCTCTATCAGTCTCAGTGTTCTAGTCCAGATGGTTTCTAAGGTTCTCTCTGGCTCTGACAATCCATGTCTCACGACTCTGAGGACGTTTCCAGATAGGACTTCAAACAGCAGGCGTCCTCAACTTCCCTCAAGGACTCTCGGGCCACAAGTTATCTCACCACAACTTCCTCCAAGGTGCCCAGACATCCTGGATCTCTCACCATGAATTTGTCCCTAACTATGTGTGCCACCAGCGGGAGGCCCAGCCTCTCCTTCCCAGGACCCTAGGGATCAACTCCCGGCAGTCTCTAGCACTAGTACAAACAGGCACGTGCATTTATCCCCAAGGAACTACAGCCCCAAAAGGCTTTGCGGCAACACCTCAGGGGTTATGGCCAAAGAGGAAAGGTTTTCCTGCATAGGCCAGCTGCTGCACGGCCTTTTGGGAATCGTAGTTCAACTGAGAAGGGTCGCGGAAGTAGCGTAACGCTGCAAACTACTCTTCCCAGAATTCACAGCGCTCCTCCCCACCAATCGGAGGCGCGGATCTTAGAAAGAGGGCGGGGAAGAGGAGGGAGCTACCCGGCGCACGCTCAGTATGTGTGGCTGGGGAATTCATGTGGAGGTCAGAGTGGAATCAGGTGAGTATGGTGGGGGACGCCAGGGCCTGTATTTGGGTAGCTTTGCAATTCTTCTCTGCCTTCCCATACTCATTGTAGGCGCGCGGGGTGCGTGTGTGGGTCCGCCTCGTGGGGGAGGGAAAAGGAGCTGATCGCGGACAAGCCAGAGGTTGAGCAGAGAAAAGGAGGTGTGTGTGGGGGGGGCAGGGTGAGGAATAATCCAGAAGCTATTAGAAATGGAAAAGACTGGGTGTCCTGGACTCAGAGAAGGAGAACTTAAATGCAAGTGGAGAGATTAAGGTAGTCTTGGGTTGAGCGCTGGGAAGGAGGGAGGAAGGGAGGACTTGCGATTGAAACGGACGACGTTGGGGCGGGGCATTAAAAAGTTACATGCTGGCCTGGTTTCTGGTTAGGGCAGCTGTGCTCCCGAACCCCACCCTCCCGATTCTTCCCGAGCTCTCCCTCACCGTGCCGCTGTTTAGAGCCTTTCTGCCAAGTTGGTTCTTCTGTTATCTTGGTTCCAGAATGTCATCCAGCCCTTGCTTCCATAATAACAGGTCATCGTTATTACATGATGTTCAGAAGCAGTATGGTGAGGAGTTTAGCTCTGCCTTCCAGCATTAGGCCTCTAGGTACTGCTTCTGGTTCTGCCACCTAATAACTGTGTGAGCTTGGGCTCCTCACATAACCTCTCCGTGTGCCTCAGTTTCCTCATCTGTAATAATTACTTCATAGGGCAATTATGAGGATTAAATTGCTCTTAGAAGACTGCCTGATATAAGTGTTAACTGTTACTGTTGTTTTTGGTGTTGGCGTCACCATGTAGCACATTCTTTGAATTATTTGCTCAAACTAAAATTGCACAGAACCAACCACTGCCTTTCCCTTGGGGCCTACTTGTCCAGGAAGTGGGAGAGTGGTTTAGTGTGCTGCTGAGTTCTCTGTGGATATCAAACCCATGCCTTGTTCCTATTATTGAACCAGGTGCTCCAGACCCACTTCTTTAAATAGTTGAAAAAGAAACTGAAAAAGAAAAAAGCAGAGGAATTGATTCTGTACTTCACAAGCTGCACAGTGTTGTATATTAGATGCCCTTCAGTCGATGATTTAGAGTCTGCGGGAGTTGGGGGAAAACAGCCAGCTTGAAAAGTGAATGCTGTGCCTCATAGAGGGCTTTCTCAGGATCTGGGGTCAAGTTGTTTTATTTTGTTTTGTTTTTACCCCTTAGGTGTAAGTGGGTCCAGCAGAAGGAAACATGGCTGCCAAAGTGTTTGAGTCCATCGGCAAGTTTGGCCTGGCCTTAGCTGTTGCAGGAGGCGTGGTGAACTCTGCCTTATATAATGGTGAGGCCCTGAGGTGTGCTGGGTCACCACTTTTTGCTGGAAGATTTCTGTTGGTTTACACAGCCCAGATGACACTCCTGATAGTAGCTGCTGTTTGTGACGAAGAGGGCTCATCTACTGCCATCCCACGTCATATGGGATGCATTGTGACTAGAGCACCTGTTCCTTTAGTCAAAGGTTCTCACAGAGCCTTTATTCAAAAAGAGCCTTCCAGCCCAATTGCTGGATGAATGTTTGCAGCTGCTCTTGTCAATTCGAAGTGATGCTGCACCACCCAAATGCAGCAGAGTGTCAGGATTTTACCAGCTTGCTTAAATGGAGATCTCATTTGTTCTCTTCTGCTTGTGTGTGGAGCAACTCAGCAAAGACTTTAGACCTGTTTGGGTAATCTTGTACTGAGCAGGAGCTTTTGCTCTACTGAAGTCGTGTAGTTCCAGAGAAGATATCTTCGAGGTGCGTGGCCCAGGTTTTAACAGCATGGCAGGAGTTTAAGCGGCTCTTCTTCCACTTTACTGTGTGGCCTTAGGCAAGTTGCTTCCCACTCTCTAGGTCTTAGCTTCCTCGTTGGTCGAGCAGTGGGATTGAACTAGTTTATCTCCAAGATCCCCTCCAACTCTATCATTCTGTAACTTTCAGTGCTGGAGAGCAGCAGTCGATTCACCTACCTGGCTGACAAGAGGAGGATTACTTTCAGAGTGAAGATATTTTGACTAACTGTAAGGAGGTTCAGAGAGGCAGAAACAGTAACTGATTAGAGAAGGCTGCTTGGCGTCTATCATTCTGTAACTTTCAGTGCTGGAGAGCAGCAGTCGATTCACCTACCTGGCTGACAAAAGGAGGATTACTTTCAGAGTGAAGATATTTTGACTAACTGTAAGGAGGTTCAGAGAGGCAGAAACAGTAACTGATTAGAGAAGGCTGCTTGGCGTATATGTCACATCTTTTTTTTTTTTAATAATAGTTATTTTTTATTTATCATCATCATCATCATTATTATTATTTTTATTATTATTATTAATTTCTGGCCACGGTACAAATCTTAATACGTTTATGGCACGTCTTTATACTGTGATCCTTTTGGCCTCCACCTGTATAACTAAACAGTAGTTGCCATTCCTGAATGTCTCTCTGAGTCAACACGACAGCTCTGTAACCCCTTAAAACTTTAGAGAAACAGAGTTATTAGAAAGAAAGAGTGGGACCTTATAAATTTTAGGATTCCCGTAGTGAGGGTGCTGTTTCTGGGATCACTGGGTTGAATTGGAGCCAGGATGGACTTGTGGTAACAGTGAAGACCTTAGCAAGTTTTAGAAGTTTTGGGAAGCGATTCCTGGGAATGTGTTGGTGAGAGTTTGGGGATGGGATGGTTAATCAGAAAGCCAAGGAGAAAGGATGCTGTAAGGAACAGATCTTGTACCAAAGTCCTTAGAGAGAAATGTGGGCTAGGAAGTGATTGCTTAGTTTTGTAGCTCTTTAGAAGCCTCTAGAGACCAGAAGTTTGGGAAGACAGAGCAGGAGAGGGGAGACTTAATAAATGAACAGAAAGCACCAGGGATCTTTCAAAGACATGATACTTTGGGGTAAAGGGAAAGAGGGGTTTTCTGACCCGTCATTATCCTTCCTTCCTAGTGGATGCTGGGCACAGAGCTGTCATCTTTGACCGGTTCCGTGGAGTGCAGGACATTGTGGTAGGGGAAGGAACTCATTTTCTCATCCCTTGGGTACAGAAGCCAATTATCTTTGACTGCCGCTCTCGACCACGTAACATTCCAGTCATTACTGGGAGCAAAGGTGAGTCTTACCTGTGGATCAGGTAAAGTAGGGAGTGTGGAAGTGGTACTGTGCTCTTTCATTAGGTCCAGAAGCATCTGTGGGACACCAGGATCCAAAAGAGATTGGACTTTACATCATAAGAATTCCTAGCATATTTGCCCTGGAGAGCTTTATATGGATTCATAGAAATAGATACTTAAGGTACACACACAGACAGCAATAAGTACAAGCTTAGAGAAATATACAAGGCTATATCTTAAGAGTTACACAGTGATCTAATTTTAAAGAAATATAAATGTGCCTTTTGCTCCCTGGTTGACCCTTCCCATCAGCTGTTGTTCTCCAGAGTGACTATATAAACCAGTCTCTAGCTGTCTGTCTGCCATAGTAGCTGACTTACCCTCTGCCTTGCTTTCTGTGGCCTGTGATGCAGCAGTGCAGACCTCACGTCATCTTGCAGGCTGAGCCCTGAGAGCATTCTCCTGGCATCTGTGACACTCCACTGGACTTCCAGTCAGAGCCTGAAATGAATTGTCATCACTGTCCTCTCCCATCCTACCCATAGAGGAACACAGGCAGTAAATGGAATAGCAGATGTGGTTCAGCAGTGACATTTATGCACATAAAGAGGAGAGGGTCACATTGGTATTGGTTTATTATCTTGATAACACTCAATGCCTTCTGTGCTATTCCCCAGCAGATGTTTCCTTACTGGGATTGTGCAGGCTTTGTGCTGGGCTGAAGGATGGAGGGAGTTCAAAGATGACGAAAACAGGAGCCGTTAAGGAGCTCAGTCTGGCTAGGAAGATAGACATGTGAACAAGCAATTATAGTAGAGTGGGGGGAGGACCAGGGTCAGGTCATATGGTGTGTAGGGGAGCACAGAAGAGAGCAGCTAGCTGTCACGGGTGCTGGAAAGGCTCCTGTAAGAAACTGATGTCCGAGCTGAGACTTGAAGAAGGAGAAATTTGTTGGGCAGAGAAGAGGGGGAAGGATAATTGGTAAATCTTTTTCTGTTGCTTCTAGCCGGAAAGGAGAAGCAGCCTCCTGTGAGAGGTCTGGCTTGCCTGCTACAAAAGAGGAAATAAAAGGTGGGGTGGGGGGTAATGGAGAAACATTAACTTTAACTTAAAAGCCTACTTCTGAGCTTCCTCCTCTTTGGGATTTCTTTTGTTTTGTTTTGTTATTGTTCTAAGGATACGTGATGTATCTACTTCCAAAACTGTTGAAAGGAACCTCCAGAGACCAGGGACTATTACGTGTTAATACGTTTCCCACCTCTTGGTGTCTGGTTCAGGACTTTACCTCATGGGCACTTGGCCCATACTGTTGATGAGTGCGAGCAAGCTGTGATGGTGCTTTAGCTCCGAGCAGGCCTGAATTGTCCAGGGGAAGGTATAATTCCCTCCCTGGGTCCTTTGATTGGGCTGAGTAATGAGAAGGTCGATCGGGACCATACATGAGTCTGATAACCTCTTACATCTGTTACCCATTTGACAGTGTTTTATATCTGTGTTCTAGTTCAGTTTCCCCCAACATTCTTGCAAGGCCTGGAAGGCAGATGAAATCATCCGACCACAGGAAACCGTATCTAAGAAGTGTGAGAAGAAAATTAGATTTCGTGGGGAATTTGCTGCCCTCAGCTGGCTCTTTTAGAAAGAATTTTTATTCCTTAATTATACATTTCATTTTTCATATCTCAAGATTATATTTTTTTTACCCAAACTTTGAACAAGAGTCCAGAAATGGATCAGGCAAAGTAGAACAGCTGCTGGAAGACTGTGGGACCAGGGTTTACTCTTCAGGAGAACATTGGGGCTGCTTATATCTTCTAAAAAGGCAGAGGTTGGAGTAGGGAGGAGGAAATGAAAGAAACAGAATTTGATAGTGAAACCAATGCTCTTCCCTTTATTTCTTTTTCAATAAAAAGTTGGTTGAATAAGTAAGTTGCTCTAAGCTAAACATGAGGAGTTCTGAGATGGGTTCCCCTTGTTTGTACTATCTTTAGAGACAGTAGCTACAGCCAAGTCTTGGTTATTTATGTGATATGGGGAGGTCTGTGCATAATCAGACTTTTAAACCTTCACCCTGACCAATGGCTTTACCTGCCTTCTCTTTCCTTTAAACCTTTTACCAGAACCACTCACACATCGGGAATACCATGATTTGCGTTCCACCCTCTCTCGTCCCTTTCCTGTTTAGTGGTGGAGTTGGACCAATGGCTTTACCTGCCTTCTCTTTCCTTTAAACCTTTTACCAGAACCACTCACACATCAGGAATACCATGATTTGCGTTCCACCCTCTCTCGTCCCTTTCCTGTTTAGTGGTGGAGTTTCTGTGAGAAAGAAGTGGATGGTTAATCCATAAGCAGAGAGCATCAGGCTCTTGAATCCCTGAGAACCAGCAGCATCCCCCACTCTCAGGGGCTCAGTTTTCCATCTGGTCTCCCATGGCCCTTTGAACAGGGCATCAAAGGACCTTGGAAGAGTACTAGGCAGTAATGGGGGTCCTAAACCCCACAGGTCTCTTCCTTTAGGGAGGTGGTCGATTGAGTAGGTGCCTTCTGGTGCCCATGAGCCACATCAAAAGCCCCAGGGGCTATTTTCCATGAGACCACCGCACTGAGCGTGAAAGAACGATGTATAGGAGCAGTTGGGGCAGCCAAGGATTGGGGGGTGTAAACTCGGTTTGGACGAGGATGTGGAGGTAGAAGGGTATTCTGGCCTCGTGGATACCTCCAGCTGCTAGAGCCATTCCTGCCCTCTTCCTTGCAGCGGCTGTGGAGGCCGTCCAGCAGCGCTGTCTAAGCAATCACTCTGCCTCGTCTTGTGCTCGCTCTCTCCCCTTAGACACATCTGACCTTCGGGAAGGAGTTCACAGAAGCAGTGGAAGCCAAACAGGTGGCTCAGCAGGAAGCAGAGAGGGCCAGATTTGTGGTGGAAAAGGTGAGTGTTCAACCAGATGTCAGGAGCCTCTCTTTTCCCTTTCTCCTGTGCTCAGCTTCCCCATTTGCTGGGTGGGCTGGAAATTCATCATCTGTCATCTCTTCTTCTGGGATAATCGGAAGGGGATTGAAGGAACTGTACTCCTGCAATTGGTTCCAGACTCTTTGGGGGCTAGTCAGATATGTGAAGTTATGTTGCTAAATCACTGAAGTGTAATTTTTTTTTCCACTTCCCTAAGATCAAAAACACTCATACAAATAAAAATATTTCTCCTGGAGTATTTTCAGCTTCACTGGGAAGTCATTTTTAACCATGGTTACATAGTAAAAGCTGACAGCAAAAAAGATCAAACGTTGCACCAGATGTGCTATCCTCACTGGGTTCCTTGCTAGCACTAAAACTACCCAGATGTGTTGAAGAGTGTGGTGGGACACAATGTATTTGCACAGCAGCCTGGTTTTCCTGCTATTTGCAAAGGTGTATTTATTTCTTGCTATCCCCTGCACCCCACCACCAGTAATTCTGATCCAAGACACCTTAGTCCTTAGAATCAGGGAAGAGGGACAGATTTAATTGTGGAGAACTTTGTGTTGGCAGGGGCTTGTTTTTCTTTGCATCTGCCATATTTCCAGAGCCTATAACAAGTCTAGCACTGTGCTTGGTAGTACTAGGTGTACAATAAACATTTACTGAGCAAACACACACAGCCTAGCAATTTCAAAATCATATTAATTTCAGAGAGGCTTGATACTGTATTCTTCCCACACTTCTGAAGGTCACGCATTGCAGATAGATGTCATCATATTGATAATTGTAGGGTAAGCCTAGGAGAGCTCATTCTGAGTGCCTGGGTTCCTGGTCAGGAACCAGCCTGGTTCACAGGCAGCTCTAGGGAGAGTCAAATGCATGCTACTCTTCCTTAACTACACTGGTTTTGATGAAAGTTGTTTTGACTTGGGACTGGAGGGAAAGATGCACCTGAGGATTGATTCCATCTTTCTCTTTTGCCTGTTTTCCTTGGCCTTGAATCCTTCTGGCTCAGAGTAGGGTGGCTGGACTCAATTGCAGTTAATATTAATGAAGACTTTGAAATAAGACAGATGCTTATACATCCAACAGAAGTGTATCCTGACAATGATGAGAAGTGGGCATTAAAGGAAAGAGTAGGATTGGGTGGTCAGTGTGCTTGTTGGCCCCATTGGGGGAGGAGGTAAATTCCCAGCATGCCTTCAGGAACCAGTGCAGGTGCCTAACCTTGTCCTTTCCTGGCTACAGCCTGACATCTTGTGCCCTGAGCTTTGGTCTTAGTCTCTGTCCACCTCCACTCTTTCAGGCTGAACAGCAGAAGAAGGCAGCCATCATCTCTGCCGAGGGCGACTCCAAGGCAGCTGAGCTGATTGCCAACTCCCTGGCCACCGCAGGTGACGGCCTGATTGAGCTGCGCAAGCTGGAAGCTGCAGAGGACATCGCATACCAGCTCTCGCGCTCTCGGAACATCACCTACCTACCTGCGGGGCAGTCCGTGCTCCTCCAGCTGCCCCAGTGAGGGCCTGTCCTCCCAGCACCTCCTCAGGCCAACTGGGCCGCAGCCCCGACAATTCCTCACACCGCCTTCCTTCTGCCCCCACCCCAAAATCACTGTGAAATTTCATGATTGGCTTAAGGTGAAGGAAATAAAATTAAAATCACTTCAGATCTCTAATTGCTCTTATCAGATGAAGCTCTTTCATTCTTCTCACATCCATCTCACATCTATCCACTTTTTTATCCACCTTCCTACCAAAATTTGCAAAGTGCCTACACCAGCAGCTTTGGGTCCCACTTTGGGGCCTGCTGGAGCTCCATCCTAAACACTGACAACTGGAAGAAGGAAAGCAGGAGCACGGTTGTCAGCCTGAGTAAACATGTCACCTTTATCCTGTCGTTTATTGAAGATTTGAGGATGATGGTGCATACAGCTGAACTGAGAAGGCAGGCCTCCTTTTTTCCAGTGGTTTCTGCACAGACAGCTGAAGAGAGGTGCTGGGGAAGGTCAGAGAGGAAGTAGTCTGTCTTTTACCATAACACTGATTCTCTTTAACTTTGCGACCAGCGGAAGCAGGTGTGTGTGAGCAGGGCATGGTTTAAAGAATCTGCCCCTGTTGAGGTGGGTGGGCTTGATTTTGCTACCCCCCAGGGTCCTGAAACTGGGATGGACTTGGATGGTGAGAGTGGAGGCCTGGACCGAGATGTGAGTCCTGTTGAATACTTCCTCTCCACCCCCAACCTTGGTCCCTTTCAAATACGCAATGGAATTCCAGCTTGAAGGACTGCATCCTGCAGAGGCTGGACATGCCTGCCAGAGATGTGTGCATCCTGCGTTCCTGGCTCCCTCATTCAGAGACTGCCCTTCTCGAGGGCTCTGTGCCTGTGCTCTGAAGGAAACAACCATGGGAAGAAAATAAATGTGTGTAAACTGCTGTCAATAAATGACACCCAGACCTTCCAGCTCAGTCATGGGTTTGTTTGTTTGTTTTTGTGGGAGCCATGGGATCAGAACAGAATGTTCTAGCTGTTTTTGTGTGCACATATTTGTATCACTAGCTGGGACAGGATCTCCAGCAAGGCAGAAAATGCTTTGCGCTGTGTTCCAGATCCATCCCCAATCTGAAATGAATCTCACTGGCATCAGGTGAGATTTGTGATGAGGTGAGTTTGTAAGAGGAGGCTGGGTGAGTTAATTAACCTTCCTCTGTATTTTGGTATCACTACTAACTGGGAGTTGTAGGCCCGCACACCAACTCTCAGCAACACTGTCCCCTGATGGGGGAGGGAAGTGCTTGACATAGAATACACACATCCAATATCAGTGCCCTCTGATTTAATTTCTATATGCATTAAATGGCTTGGGGTGCTCTGCAGTGGGTTTATATTGTTTGTTTGGCCTTGCTATGACAGATGTGGAAACTGGAAAAGCTTTGGCATTTGAGGAGTCCCTAGTTAATACATTTTGGATCATGAAGAAGGAAAGTAAATCTAGGATTCCAGTCACTCACCTCAAATCCTTTTAGGAACAAAGCAGAAACAACGTGCAGTGAGCATGCAGCATTGACTGTGCTTTAACCTCTGCCCTCAATTTAATCCTGGGCTCACCACCTGGCCACGGAGAGGGGTCTTTAAGAAGACTCTGCAGGCCGATCTATGACCTGGATTCTGCATTTCCTGTCCCAGAGTCACAAGGCCAGCTGTCAGCTGGGAAAGAGGGGGACCTGATGCACAGATTTGGGGATTGAGTTCTCCCAATTCATATACCGCGTACCCCTCCCAGGGCCTCTTGGCAGGAATCTGGTCCCTTCCCCTCCTCCCCAGGGCAGACAGCAGTGTGTGATGGGCTCCCGCCCCTCTGCTGAACCTCCAGTCTCCCACCAGAGCCTCATTCTGCATGATACTCTTGAAACTCCCCATCTAGCCCATCTTCCGGCCACATCCACCAGCATCATTTATCTCAGGCCTCAGGATCTCTCTTTTTTCGCTGTAAGAATGGTGAGGCCTGCAAATTATGAGGTGCCTGGACTCCAAGCACATTAAAGACTGGGGCAGAAACAGCATAATTCCTAAATAAGTTCCAGACCAGCCTCCACTCTGCAGCCTTCCTCTTTTCCTGCCATTTATTGCTTTGGACACCCTTTGGGGGGGGATGGGGGGGTGGGGACAGGTTGGGGCAGGAGGCTCCTCTGTCTTCCCCAGGCCTTTTTAAAAGAGCAGTTGCTGTTTCCTGCATTTGGTTGGAGATTGGGTTTCATACTCCAGGTGTCTGTCTGTAGGGGAGCCCTGAGCTGCAGAGCTGCCTCACTCAGCTTCTGGGTTCCTTCTGCCTTCGAGTCAGCCCTTTCAGTGTCAGGCAGGCCAGGCTTCCTGCCGGCTTTGCCATCAGTCTCCCTGTCATGGATGGCAGAGGCACATCCCAGTGGCAGCCCAGGGGCCTCGTTCTGTGTTGACTTCCGCTGCCAAGTAATTCTTTTCACAAATGTTCAAGGGCTATTAACTGGCTTCTTAGGCCCAAAGCCCCCTTATGGCCTCTGGGTTTCTCCAGAAGCTGCCACAATGGGTCTTTATCAGCTCAGGATTCTTGGGGGCCTCGGATCAAAAGCCATGTCCTGTCCTGGCCAGGGAAGAGGTAGAGCAGGAAGTATCTTCCTCCCTCTCTCCTGAATAGTTCCCTTGTTTGGGCTTGGAACGGTTGCTTGCTGAGAAGGCAGTGGACGCTGGATGGAGAGAGGAGAGAAAAACCCTCAAAGGGTTGCCATTTTCCTGACTTCTGCTAGTTTTACACAACTTCTGCCGGTGTGGACTGATGGGGACTCCGGAGGACTCTGGCTGGTTTATTTGAAAGACAGAGAAAGACAATGGAATATTAGTCAAATTCTGACTTAGCAAATCTTATTCTAATGGGATATTCCAGCAATCTGCAGAGGGATGTTCAGTTAGGACCTCCCCTTGACCTTTGCTACCTGCCAATCATCATGCGCAAAGCAGCCCACCCTGATTGAAAATAACCCGAGTGAGAAAGGCGCAGGAGGCTGTAACTGATTTCCTGCATTTCCTAGGTCTTCTGTTCATCCTGCATGGTGCTTCAGACTTCATTTTTCTAAAGCAGATCTCATCTCCCCCCTCCTGAAGAACCTTCAGGGCTACTCCTTGCTCGCTTAGTAAAGTGCAAATGTCTTATCCTGGTATTCGAGGCTCTCTGTGGGCTGGCTACCCCTTTCTAGCCTAACTAATTGTTTAACTACTTACCTCACAGACCTACCTAGTGGTTCTCCCAGGGTCAGGAGTGATGTTTGAAAATGCAAGTGGAAAAGGGCAGTGGCTACTGGCATTAAGTGAGAGGGAGGGGAGGTGGCAGGGACGCTACAAGACCTACTTTGTCCATAACACCCCCACTGAAAACATGCACCAGACTGAGTTCCTTGCTCCTGTCGACACCCCTGTCCCCCTCATACTTTTACTGCATCCTCCTTGCTCATTGTCACCTCACCCTGGACAGCCCTTTCCCCACATTTCACAGGTCCAGCTGCCGCCATCCTTTGAGTTCTAGCTCAAATTCTTTCTCTGCCACAAAACTTCTGCCGATGTCCCCTCCTTCCCCTACCTGGTGCCTCACCTGTCCCTTGCCTGCACAACTTATCCACGTTCCTATGAGGCATTTGGCACTCTCTTCATTGCACTGCAGTTGTGCGTGCGTGCGTGTGTGACTGAGTGTGTATCCCCTCTCCCACTCTATAATTATAGAGGGCAGGATCCCCCTTCCTCTTCTTTCCCCCAACCACTCCCTGATCTTTCCCAAGTCAAACGTAACTGGCTCTTGTGGGAGTTACTGGATGCTGGTTGAATGAATGGAGGAAGCATCAAGGGTACAGGACTGAGTTAGAGATGAGAGCTCCTCCCATGCCTTACACTGACTTACCTCAAGACACTGTGAACCGGGGTTCTCTGGGTCCAGCAGGCCAACCCACCCACTACTGCCGCTCCCTCTCAACCAGTTTCTCAGAATCGTCCCTCCGTCGCTTCACACAGCATCGTGTATGGACTGTCCCCTTGCTGCCGCTGCCCATGGCACACTCGCCTGCTTGTCTGGAACACCACTCTTCTCTCTCCTCCCTCCTTCAATCCTTGCCCTTGTCTCCAGCCCAGCTTAAAAATCTCCTTTCTCCAGGAATTCGCCTCTGGCTAAGCTCTTCCAAGCTTTCCTTATACATAAAGTCTCTCTTTAAAAAAGAGATATTAGCTCTGCAACCGCAGCAACTCTGGGATCGGGAATCGAACAAAAAAGGAGTGATGAGGCCTGCCCCGGCCGGCAGAGCTGCGGTGCCTTGGCAAGGCCAGGCACACGTAGCTGGAAGGGAGAGCACATGGAAATGTACTGGGCCTGGGGAAACCAGTTTGTAGTTGGAAGAGAGCGTCTTTGCCTATGACGCCGGGTGGATGGGGAGGAGGGGTGTCTCTCCAGCACCCTCGAATCAAGCTACTTCAGAAGAGAGAGCGAGGCCAAAAAGGCAGGGCTACTTTGGGGGAGCTTAAAACTGTTGTCATCCGTGGAGGCTGGGCAAACCACCTGAATTAGCCAGAAAAGCCAAGATCAGTGAAAGGCTTGGACCATCTAAGTTTGGCTGAAAGAGCTGCAAACACTTCAGTCAAGGGTGGCAAATACAGCCCATTGCTTGTTTTTGTATAGCTCGGGAACTAAGAATGGTTTTGACGCTTTTAAATGGTTAGAAAAAAATCAAAAGGATAATAATATTTTACGATACATGAAAATGACAGGAAATTCAAACTTCAGTGTCCATAAGTAAAATTTTGTTGGAACATAGCTATGCTCCTTTGCACTACGACAGCAGAGCTGAATAGTTACAAGAGACTGTATGACCCGCAAAGCCCAAAATATTTACTATCTTTTCCTTCACAGAAGTTTGCTGACCTCTGACTTAGGAGCTTAGATAGCCTTGGAGAAGAAAAGGAAGAACCCTGGAATTTGGTAGTTTCAGGTATCAGAAGGAACTGGGAGCTTTAAGTCAGATACCAGTGTAATTGTCACCAAGTCCTTGATTGCGTTCAAGGCTATGGTGATCTGAGAAGCCAAGTTACATAAGGGCCCTGGCACACAGATTTATCATACCTGCTGGTGTCCGTGGCTTGCACATGTTTCTAAGATGGTGAAAGATGAGAATGGGGGTAGCAAACAGGGATGAGGAAGGAAGAAAAGGCCTAAGGTCGCCTAGAGGTCTGAGGATCTCTAGGTCTGGGGTAAAACCACTTCTTTCCCATGCTCTGCCCTCCAGGGAGTGTTTGCTGCTGGACTGTCTCTCCAAAGCAAGGAGTGGCTACTGCCAAGGAAGGGAGCGCAGTGTTCTGATGAGTCCCAGAAACTCGGGCCTCTGGGCAAAGAGTCTTTTGGCTAAGACCTTGTCTGTCCTGGACAGCCAGAGACCCCCAAAGAACCTACAGGTACTCTTCATTGTGGATTGCACCAAACCCAGTCTTTACCATGCATTCGAGAGCAGAGGAGATTTCTCTCTAGCTAACAATTGCTTCTTTCCTCAGTTGCTTTTGCCAAGCTCTCAGTGTGAAATGCCATTTACCCTCTCCTGTGTCTCTACCCCTGCCTGCCTCAAGATCGCCTTCAACACGTACTTTCTTTGGATCTCCTTTCCTGTCTAACTCCACCCCTACCAAGACCACAACAGCACAAAACTGCAAAAGGAGCTTTCAGATCCTCAGGAACAACCCCTACCTTCAAGTGAGGAGGGCAAAGAGACTTGCCCAACCACCCACAGGGTGTGGGTGACAGAGCAATGGAAATATTCATATCCTTAATTTTTGGAGAAGAAAAAAAAAAAGGCTGCATGAAGTGTTTAAGTAATTTATGCAAGGTCTCCCAGGCTAGTCTAGTCAATGGCAGAGTCACACTCCAAACTCAAATCTTTCTAGTTCGAGAACCCTTTCCACCAAGCTG